AAAGTTGTTGCTATAATGATATTGCCTGGCTTAAGGAGTCACTATCTTTTATCAAATTTGTTGCTAATCCTAGCACCACCAAGTGATCTCATCTTTCATTCTGGCTGGATTCCAACATACAATTTCATTAACCCAGGTACTGCAGGTGATAAAACTCATTTTTCCCTAAAGAGACAGCTAAAAAGTACAGTTATACATTTATGAAGTACCAGCAATCAAAATTATGGATTTTCTAAAAGGTTTTTAACTACTTTTATTGAAAGGAAAATTGCTGTCTCAGACTTTTTTGACACTATTACTAATAATAAATGTTAGCATTTCGACACAGCAATAATGTGGGAGATGGTGTCAATAAAAAGTATGAAACAAAGATGATCGCTGTCTCTTTAAGTAATGCCTTCTGATCAGATACCGGAAATGAACCTTAAGAGACATAAAACAAATATCTAAAACTCTCTTTATTGCAGACAACTGGGTTAGTTCCAAGAGTATACATTAGCACAATGACCACAAACCAAATCTATTGTTCTACAAAAATAACACTCTATAAAATTATCTGTAACAGCACCTCTGAATCTTTCCCTCCAAATTTTGTTTCCCAATATTATAGAGATCACTAGAGGGCAGTGTGGTATTTAGACCACTCTGACCTTTGTAAGTGATGCAACTATTACTTAGGTCTTGAACTTTATTACAATGTCAGCAAGGTTAATCAGGATGCTGTAAAAATCATGACATTCAAAACTGAATTCCGATTTAACATGTTCCACATACTATGAAACAGAATGAATTAATATTTTGTTGATACTTTCTTAGTGTATAAATTATGTTGATCAACTTTCCTACATATTTGTCGTCTGCCAGCATTTAAAAGGGATGAATTTTAAAAAATCCCACCTTTAGCTAGTGGCCAGTTTACAAAATAAACTGGGAAAGATCACGTGCATGAAATAAATGATCATAAATATCTTTGGAAATTTGCATCCCTGCATCTTTTTCTTCTAATGTTGAATAATTTTAACCTCAACGTAGTTCAATTAAGCTTAAAGATAACTTCAGTTTAAAACTTTCTGGTTTGCAGACAGCAGTCATTAATGCATTTGAAACAAGTTCTGATTTCCAGCTTTTTTACAGCAGGTATCCTTATGCATACTTTTCTCTTTCTAAAACCACAAGCATAGTTTCTGGAATTTCATGTGGAAGTGCTTAAGGGGTTGAAAGTTAACACCTTTGTGAGCTGAGTAGCCTTGCAGTTGCTACTAAACAAAAGCCTTTTTTAGAAGCTTTCCTGAAATGTTTTCTTAACATGTTCCAAGTAGTTTTAGGCAAGCAACTAAAGTAAACAAGATGTTACCATGATAAAAACACTTGTGAAAACATTGCAGTGTGTGCCTAAAATGTTTCTTTCACACAAGCATTCCTTAGTTTTACCAGCAAGCTTCCATCTATAATTCATAAATGATTTAATGTTTGAATGTATTTCAATCATAACTGTTACTGTTCCTACCAAACTTCTCAAAATTACAAGTCCCAAACTATCAAGGTTGTATGTTGGTTATAAAGCTTACTTTTGTAAAATAATGACTTTAGAATATTTATGTATATATGTATCACACAGTATTATGTGTACTACTATTCTTCAGAAAAAGTGGATGTCTTTAGTTCAGGGTTCAACTGTGGAATCCTTGGTGCTCTCTGAGGTTGGTTGTTTGCCAATGTTTCATTACCCAATTAGGTAACATCATCAGTGCTAATGATGTTATCTAGTCGGGTAATGAAATGTCTGAAACAAACAACCAAGCTCAGAGAGCACCAAAGATTACATCATTATCTTTCCCCACCCATTTGGGTTTTTCAGCATTATTTCTAATAGTCTCTGACCCTTGACATGACATCCATTATCATGCCAAGTAGGCAAAGTTTGCTCCGAAGAATAGATGGCCTTACTTGATATATCAATAGGCAGGACAAAAATCACAGATAGAAAGGAATGAAAGTATTCAGAACTCTGAAGTAAGCAACTAAACTCACAGCACTTTCCTTTATGAACAAAGAGACTCCTATGCTGAATGTATGTACAATGGGCACTTTTGATGGGAACCCAATTAGAAAAGCAGGTATAGAATAGCTCATCCTACAGCTGGACACATTTAACAATATGGTCCAAAATGCCAATACAAATGTAACACAGCAATACAGACATGTTCATCCACATGTACACATACCTATTCAGACACAATTGCATGGATAAATATTAATTAGATGAGTGGAGTGGAGTGGAGTGGAGTGGAATGGAATGGAATGGAATGGAATAGAATAGAATAGAATAGAATAGAATAGAATAGAATAGAATAGAATAGAATAGAACAGAACAGAACAGAATAGAATTTCTTACTTTAAAAAAGACTGGAAGTCTTCACATACTGTTTCGCAGCCCGGCCATTTGCATACTCCATGCCCATAGAGCGGATGGCTATGACAAGGTTCTTCATGGGATAAACTGAAAGAATAATTAAAAGGCGGAAGAGAGGAAACTATTATCATGTGAAACTTGAATAAGCTTACCTTGGTGTTTATCAGTACAATCAAGTAATAATTCAAAATACTGAGGAATAAGCAAATCATTTTGGATCATGCAATACAGATTTACAAGAGAACATTTCCAAATTTTATTGAGAGATTGTACATATCACATCTATGAATCAGAGGTCTTACAAAAAGTTGAAAAAAATGAAATATATTCCAAATTATGTTAAGATGCTTCAAAATTGTACCAGAGTGTTATCAGCCAAACATCGAACTTCTAAAATGTGGATTACAGTATGGCATTTTCATGGGTAATAAGATCATTAATACATATTTTCGAGCAACATTGCTGTTTTCCGTAAGTCAAAATAAAAATGGAAGCTGAGGAAGAAGGAATCTGTATGAATACAAAATGGTCAGGGAAATGAATCTGCTGCATTTATTATCGTATTCTGAAGTATCTTTATTCAACTATGGTATGAGCAAAAGAATTTTTTTTGACAATTCCCATAATTTTAAAATTGTTTTTATGAATAAAGAAGCTTTAATTTTTTTATCTCCATTTATGTTATTTTTTAACAGAAAACTATTCCCAATACCATTAAGATAAGTCAGTAATTTTTTATTTAAAATATACCCACAAGGACTATCTATACATGTTTGTTCCTGGAATATTGCCTCTTACACACCAACAATCTGAAGACTTATCTCTGATTCAAGATGGCTCCAATAATTCATTTTAAGTTAAGGTTCTGCTGTAATTCATGCGACGACATGATAAACCTTATATTCAGGTATTATGAAATATGCTACTATCATAGTTAACGTATTTAGACTAAACTATATGGTAATTATCATAATTATCAGTCAGTGTGCTGGAGTGCAAAGAACATCAGATTTGGGCTAGAAGCATGACTTCAATCTATATTAAGCTGCTGTTTGGGGTGATTACAATAACTTGGTTGAATATACTTGTGATTAATTTAAAAAAAAATAAAGGAAAGGACAGCATACATACTTGGATTCTACTGGAAACCTGGAAATCAATGTTACAGTGGAACAGCTGTATTTTTACTGTCTGAACTATAGCAAATTTATTAGTAAACAGGATGTTTGGATGGGATTCTGGAAAGTAATAGTAATAGATTGGCTCTGGTGATTGTGTTGAAAGAGTAAACAATGTGAAATAACCATTGCTATAGAAATGACTATTGGAAACAAAATAAAAGAGCATTACTGAATGAACAATCTCTAGAAAAAACAAGTGATACTTAAAAACAGGCTATACTTTTCACAGAAGGGTAAAGTTTTGATGAACACAATATGAATTTAAGTAACTCATGAAGTCCCATTTATGTAAATAAAAATGTCTTTCAAAAACAATGCTGGGTAGATTTAGGGAAATAAAATACCTTTTTAGAATATGAAGGAAGGAAGGAAGGAAGGAAGGAAGGAAGGAAGGAAGGAAGGAAGGAAGGAAGGAAGAAAGAATACAGGTTTCTAATACATATATCAACAATTTTATAGTAAAGTTGAATAATTGATTTAAAATAAATTTCACTGGAGATGCTTTTATAACTGATATTACTCAATCAGCTCTTCTAAACATTGAATGATCTGATTAGTTTTCTTGTTATCAATTGATTGCCCTATTGAGTTATTAGGCCCTTTAGGTCAATAAAAAATGTGTAGCTATGTTCAACTCTTGCAGCTTTTGCATTTTTCCATTACAACCACAAAAACTACAAGATGTAGTAATTATAAGGCCAACAACTGATAAACTGCATAATTTTGCCACAATAAGTTATTTATTACTTGTTTCTTAAAATGTCATTAACTTTTAATTAAAAATGCCTCCAGAAGTTGTGAATGTTCCAACACTGGAAGTTTTTAAGAAGAGACTGGACAACCATTTGTCTGAAATGGTATAGGGTTTCCTGCCTGAGCGGGGGGGTGGGTGGGGTTGGAGTAGATGACATTCAAGGTCCTTTCCAATATTATTATTATTAGTAGTAGTAATAGTAGTATTCTCCACAAATGTTGATCGTAGTCTTCCAGTATAAAATATATTAAATATTGGAGAATCATGTATTCATTTATATTTCTGATATTTTCTATGACATTATCTAACTACATTAAATTGAAATAACTAGCAGTCAACTTTATGTTAGAATACTCATTCAAAGAATAAGTAGTATGTATGTAAGTATATAAGAATAAGTTGTATTTCTAGTCACACTTTCAAAAATATACTTTGTGGAAATTGTGATTGTTTTGATTGATTTTTGTAAGGCACTGATAATGTTACTGATCATGTCTGCCTTGAAAAAACTATGGATGGATGGATGGATGGATGGAAGGAAGGAAGGAAGGAAGGAAGGAAGGAAGGAAGGAAGGAAGGAAGGAAGGAAGGAAGGAAATCAGAGATGGATAAATTATATGAAAAAGTGATAATAACTGGATGCAATATGTACTCCCTTAAAGCTTTGATTCGCAAAGTGGGCACTAAGCATCTTGGGATGCTGCATTGAAGTCATAGAAGAATTGCAGGATTTTACTATTTAATAAGTGGAACTGTTGCTGTGGTGCCCTATAATGCCATGAAACACAGTTTGAGACCCACAAGAGGTTCTATGGGGAAAAAAAATACTGAAGAATCAAGGGTGCCATTAACTGAGAAAGTCTGAGAACCTCTGCCTCAAATTATGAGATTCTTCAAAGTGAGCTTGACTTGGATGGGACAATGTAGATTTCTTGGCAGCAGTATGGAAGTGGCTTCCAACTGCCTTGTTTTGATTTCTGACTGCCCGGTCCAGCCTATGTCCTAGAGATCTCCTGGTACTTTTTCAAACAAGTACCAAATACACCATACTTTTTTTTCCAAATGACTTCAAACATGAGGAACTTGCAATAATTGACTGTGTTATATCGTGCCAAAATTGCACCAAGATTTCTTTTTACTATCTTTAAGGAATCATAATAGAAAGCAATCAGCCACTAAGATTGATGTAGATGACATGGCTATTCAAGCATATACATGGCAAACAACAACTTCCAGTACATATAATGGAATAACTTACATCTTGTCCTACATTAACATTCGATTATAGATGCATATCCACTCTGAAGCGACAGGAGGAGATAGCATTAGTAGGTACTGTCTTTATTGTATCTCAATTATTTATAGGATTTATGTTCTTTTATAAAATATAAAAAGATGGATGTTCCTGATTAAATGGGAGGCACAGAATTAGAACAGTAACTATGAATTCTGTTCTTAAAGGATCTACATCAGTACCAATGTTGGTCTTAGTGCTTCTCTCCTGCAGTCAGCTTGTTTTTTGCACCATATTTGCCTAGTTCACATAGTGAAACTATCCATGTCGGATGCTGTTTTTTATCCAGTTTGCTGTAGAACCTGACAGTCATTAGAGATGAGAGGGAGTGACTGGACTAAACTCACCCAGATGGTTTCCATGCCTAAGAGAACACAGGACCTGGAACTCCCTATTTTACTCTGTCACTTTAACTCATCTCTTGATTTGTCTCAATACAAACATTATTTGAAAACAATAAAAGGTTCATTATACTTTTGGGCAAATCTTTATAATTCCAGCAGTATCTTTAGTCTTTATTATTTGTTTTACTAATACAACCCTCTTCCCAATAAGATTGCCTTGGCACAATCCTGAACTTGATTTAGAAACAGAAATTTGTGGTATTTTCTTATGGATTCAAACTAATCCCATTTTTTTTAAAACAGGAAAGATAAATTTACCCCTGTAAACTCTTGCTAAAATAGTAGACATGTCTGGACAAGATACTGGAATTTAGTCAGTTTATCAAGACACAGAGTATGGTTACATTGCAGAAGATCTCTTCTTCTAGTGTAATCCTTAACATTTAAACAAAGAATTTGATCATTCTACACTGAATCATACTGAATCTACTAATCCACAGAATAGCAATTCTACATATTACTTAGTACTCCACTGGGTTACTTGACATTCTATTTAGAAATGAGTAACAGAACAACAGGGTTAGAGAATAAACATGTTTTTCTCATCCATTTTATTTTCTTGGTTTAGCTAACATAGGTTTCATCACAGGGAGGCCAATCTAACAGAAATTCCTACTCTACCATAACTGGTTGACTGATGCCCCTGTAAGATAATTAAGTCATCACATAGGTCTTACTCACTTTATTCAGATCCAAGCATAATCAATGCACTGAAAACATCAAGAAACAAAGAGATGGTTCTCTGTCTTCTAAAAGAGTTATGCTTTCCCAGAGCACATAGATATGTATTTTGTAGAGAGATATTCTTTTTCTGATTTTCTACATTGAAGTAACAGCAAGGAACATCTTTTACTGGACTTGCCTGAGTTTACAGCCACATGGACATGGAAAGAATCCAATACACTTGTCAGCCCTCCCAAGTTAAGACAGATAGGAAGCATGAGATGAGCTAACTCTATTTGTAAAGTTACATTAACAGAATCTTGTTAGTCTAAAGACACCAACTTCCTGCCACCACTTTTAACTGTCTGATCAATTAGGGTGGGTCCTTCCTAAGTTTCTTTCTTTGACCATTAAGTCCTTCGGGGCTCCTCCCTCCCATGTCTGATTGTTTCCTAGGCATCATCTCTTTCCTTTTTCCCCAAGGTCATCCACACATTCCATTACAACACTGGATAGCACTAGATTCAGACATGCTAATTTAAATGGACATGCAAACTTTAACTACTTAATCAATTTATAAGCTGTTTCAATTGTTGCAGCATTTTTAGGCATCCTACAGCCACCAATTAATGCAATTTCAAACACAACAGAATGAAAATAGTAACAATACAAATATAAAAAACACATACTGGGAAAGCAAGCAAACAACCTACAAACAGAGAAAGATGGTCAAATAAGTATATTGAACCACGAAGGACTTTATGATAATCATCTTATGAAGTTTCAAAGAG